TCGCAGCGAGAGGAACCGGGGGCCCCCATCTCTCGGGGGCGCGCAAACATGGATCGGAGGAAATACCCTCCCCAAAATGCGGCCAGTGCCCCCTCGCTCGGCGGCGGGAATCCGCGACTTCCCGTGGAAGCGGACCCGTCGCTAATCCACGCCCCCTTGACCCATGTTTGCGATCGCCTGACCTTTGTAGTCGCCGACTGTTGCTGGGGAAACCGAAAGGTACCGATACCGCTACTCCCCGGACCTCTCCTGGGTTGCGTTCTGAACAGAATTTCGGGGCGAATCCAGCGGTGGCGGCGAGGGCCTCCGAGGAGGCCCCAAAGGGGGAAAACGAGGAAAGGGTCGAAGTATGGGTAACCTTTCCTCCTCTGAGTTGCTGGCTTCGCAGCGAGAGGAGCTGGGGGGTCCCCATCCCTGCGCAGCCCGCGGGCGGCGGGGCGACGCATAGTGGAGGATGACGATTGATAAATGAGCGGGTCGTGTTCACGCGGCGGCGCCCGGGATGACGATTAGAAAAAACCGGCCGCGGGCTGGAAAACTATGTTTGTTCTCGTTCTCCTCCAGTCAGAACGCTGTGCAGCAATAGCAGAAAACTATTGTTTTAAAATCGTTCTCTCCCATTTTCTTATCAATCGTCATCCCGCCTTACGTCTCCCCCTCTCGGCCCCCCGGGGATGCTCGAGCCGCCGAGGTCGTAGGCCACGGGCGCGCGCGCCTGCAGGGGTGCGACAAACACCGGCACCGATCTGCCGCTGCTCATCTTAGGTCGGGCACGTCCTCCTACAGGCAGACTTTGGAGGGAAAAGTGAATGATAGTCCAGAAATCTTCAAACATGGAATAATATTCATGGTTTAGTGTGTATCTATATACACACATCAAACAAATAACAAACAAACAAACAACATATATAATAATCATAATAATAATGATAATAACAACAACAATAATAATATGAAATAATAATATTAATAACAATAATAATACTAGTAGTAGTAATAATAAAAACAATATATATATATATATATATATATTATATAATGATAAAAACGCCCCATGACTATGTTCGACTATGTTTGAATATTCCTCCTGCGGCCCCCCCAGACATAGGGGAAGTGCAGACCAAGGACTCTCTGACAGCTCCGCCTGGTGACAGCGAAAAGAATGAAGGAGAAGACTTTGGCCCGCGGCAGCAATTTGTTCTTGGTGATCGTTTTTGTTATCTTTCTGGGGTAGCGTTATGTGTTGCGCCCATCGTGGTGAAGGGCCACATCCCAGAAGTGATCTCGAGCACCCGGAAAAGTGTCGAAAGAGTGTCGACACAGTGTCGACGCAGTGTCTCCCAGGGCCCGACACGTGCAAACGCTCGAGTTTGGGTACTTCTTTCTGGTGCTCGGAATTCTTTCTGGTGCTCAAGGCTAAAGTAGGTTGGAACATCATACTGGCCATCGCTCGGACGTCCATTTCCTGTGTTTTGTTCGGTTTCGTGCGTGGCTTTTTCGTGAAATGATCAAGGATGCTCCTCGATGGTCCTCGCCGAAGGAAACATGCACCCGTCCGAGCGATGTCAAAGCATAAGGGTAGCGGTCGCTACCCCATGGGGGGGGGGCGGGCGGGAGGGAAACGGTAACGGCGGGCGCGGCGGGCACCCTCGAGGGTATCTGCACGCCCGCGCCACCGTCGCATCCGTCGCCTGTGTGCGCGCCACAATACGATCGCTAGCGTTGCCCGAGGTGCGGGGGGGGCCAGGCAACGAGCGTGACCAGTGGGGAGGAAACGGAAAAACCGCTCACTCGGGCGCGCCAAAAGGCTGGTCTGTCAAAGCACCGGGCACGGCGACCCCCAAGACGCCAGCGTCTCGTTCTTGTCCACGACGGTGGACCACTGGAGACCCGACGTCCACCCCCCAGGGACTGGCCTTTGCCCGACGAATCCTTGCGTTGACGGCCCCGTGGCCTCGCAAAGGCCCCTGGGGGGCGAAAACTACCACAAACACCACCCGCCGTAATTTGAGTTGTCGCAGCGACTGGAAACGGGGAACGTTGACCCAGGAATCGGCGATGCATCGCCGACAGATCAGCGATATACCCCCGATAGCGAAGCCGCACGTTCCTGCATGGCTGGTCGGGCTTCCAGGCCCGTGCCAGCGAGGGGGCGATGCGTCCCCCCCTGAGCCTACCCACCCTGACGTTGCCCCCTGAGGACTTCCGCCAGGGCGCATGTTGGCCAGAACTCCGAGGATTCAGCCGCGCACGGCGACCCAGAAAACCCCGACGCCCTGCTTTTGTCCACAACGTGGACTCCAGGAGACCAGACGAATGTTTCCCCAGTGCCTGACCGAGTACCTCCCGTCTCGCGAGCGCCGTGAGGGCCAACAGACAACACATGTTTTTAATCAGTATCAAAAGAGAGAGAGAGAGAGAGAGAGAGAGAGAGAGAGAGAGAGAAAGAGAGAGAGAGAGAGAGAGCGAGAGAGAGAGAGAGAGAGAACAGTAAAGGCAGCAGCAACAACAACAACAACAACAACAACAACAACAACAACATCAACACCACCAACAACACCACCAACAACAACAAACAATTTGAGACTGTTCGCTCTTACTTGCCCGCGTGTCATTCAAAACGAGTTCTCCACACCCTCGATACCCGCCCTCGTTGTCTTCGAGCACCCCCTTTGGGGGATTAGTTCTCTTTGCGGGGGGGCGGCGGGCTTAGACAGGCGGGCAAACTTGAACTGGCGGACAACCCTTCGTGGGCGTGCATGTGCCCGCCACTGGAATTGGTGTGGGCCCTGAGAGGAGGGGGAGAACGAGGGAGAGTGGGAGGAAGGGAGGGGGAGGGACGAAAAAAGAAGGAAAACGCCAGGAGAGAAGGAGCGAAGCTGGGGGCGGTTGATTAGAGGCAGAGAGAGGGAGAGAAAGAAAGACAGATAAGAGAGGTAGAGAGAGAGAGAGAGAGAGGCAGAGAGGCACAAGGATGAGGGAAGAGAGGAGGGAGAGAGAAGGGAGGAGAGGAGGGAGGAGGGAGGAGGGAGAGGGAGGAGGAGCAGGAAGGTAAGAGCGTGAACGTTCGAGGAAGACCTAGACGAAAGCGCCGTTCCTGAAGGAAGTCTCGGGCGGGAGCCCACGACGGGCGAGCGATCCCTGACGGGCGGGTCGGGCGGGTGGGACCTTCAACCGGGATGCCTGAGTATGGCGAGAGCGCGATTACTAAGTAAATTGTAACGGCGTCCTTGGCGCAGCGTGTTTCCTGAGCGTCGAAAGCGCGATTTCTGAATAAAGTGTATGGAAGTCACAGGCGAGAGCGCAATTCCTGAATAAAATGTGACGGGTTCTCTGGCGGGAGCGGGGGTCTTGATTAAATTGTGATGAAGTCTTGATTCAATTGCGAGGACGTCTCAAGCGGGAGCGCCGTTCTTGAGTAAATTGTGAAGAAGTCTCAGATGGGAGCGGGGGTCCTGCCTAAATTGCGAGGGGGTCACAGGCGGGAGCACCGATCCTGAGTAAATTGTTAAGAAGTCTCAGGAGCGGGGATCCTGAATAAAGTCGGAGGAAGTCTCAGGCGGGAGCCGTTGTTGTTGTAATCCGGGGGACCAGGGGCCCAGTTTGAGCTTGCCCTGTCAAAAAACAAGGTGCGAGCGTCGAGGGACATACTTTGACTGAACCGGTGAGGGGGGAACAACAATCATTACACAACAACAACAACAACAACAACAACAACAACAACAACAACAACAACAACAACAATAATAAGTTTAAGACCGTTCGCCCTTATATGTTCGGGTGTCCAATCACGCATATTTCCCAAACCCTCGATACCCGCCCTCTTCGTCTTCGATCGAACCCCTTTTGGGGGGTATACCTTTCTTCCCTGCAGGCCGGGCCCCCACAAGCGGCGGGGCGGCCGCGGACTGTCGGCCTGGCCAGCGGCAGCGCTGATCGGCGGGGCGGCCGCGGACCGTCGACTCGACCCCAAGAGGGACGGACAGGGGACCGACGACGACGACGACGACGACGACGACGTCGAAGACGACGGCGACGACGACAACGACGGCGACGACGAGCGAAAGCGAGAGCGGGAGAGAACGACAGCAGGGCCACGAAGGGCACCAAGTAGGCCACGAAAGGCGACAGCGGGGACACGAAGTGAATGCGTATGGGGCCACGAAGAGCGCGAACGAGCGGGGGCCACGAAGTGCATACAATGCGGGGCCACAGAAGGCAACTATGGGGCCACTGAGGGTAGCAACTGGGCCACGTACGACAGTAAGAGGGACACAAATGGCGAGCGACAGCGGGGCCACGAAGGGCATGCACATGGGGCCACAACGGGCGCGACTCCTGGGTGCTTGGGTGTCGGGAGCGCGGCGCTTGGGCAAATTGCAAGAAAATCCAACGCAAGGCCACTCTTCGAAACCAATAAGTTGCAAGCAAACATCCAGCGAGAGCGCGATTCCAGAGCGCCGAGAGAGCGATTCCTAAATAAATTGTAAGGAAGTCCCAAGCGAGAGCGCGATTCCTGAATCAAATGCGAGGAAGTCTTGGGCGGGAGCGGGGGTCCTGGCTAAATTGCAAGGAGGTCTCAGGCGGGAACCGTTGTTGTTGTTGTAACCCGGGGGACCAGGGGCCCAGTTTGAGCAGGAAAACTGTCCCTGTCAGAAAACAAGGTGCGAGCGTCGAGGGGCACACTTAGATTGAGAAAAAACAGTATGCACTGGTGGGGGGTATCAACAATAGTATCCTTCAGAAGTGAGAATTCAACAACAAAGACGACATATAAAAAAACCTGTTCCTGAAGCAACTCGAGAATCCTGCGCCATGCCTTGCCAGTGCGGGTTCCCGACCCTTTCCCCAGGACCAGCTCTACATCCCGAGTCGCTGTGTGACGGTCCTAGGAGACCCGGCGAGGGTCCCCAGAGGCAAACAACTTACAAATAACCTCCAGTCGTCGCCTGTTCGCCACGCGGTCCGCTCGGGACGATCCCGGCACCCCCAGAACGCCTTCCGGCGAGGTGCAGCTGCCGGAGCGCAACCCGAGGCAGGACGACCGCCCGGAAACCTGGAGGCACGACTCGGCGAACCCGGGAGGGAAACATCTGCACAACACACAATCAATCAAGCACAGATTCTTCATGGAAATTATGCGCCCAAGGAACTCCAGGACATGCGTACAAAATGGGAAGATACTGGAAGTTGTGTCGATGTATTTGTGTCCCCCTGGATCCCTAGACGAACCCCCAACCCAACACAACGTGGACTCCAGGAGACCAGACGACCTTTTCCCCAGTACCTGACCCAGTACCTCCCGTCTCGCGAGCGCCGTGAGGGCCAACAGACAACACATGTTTTTTTAAACAGCATCAAAAGAGCATGTTTTTTAATCAGCATCAAAAGAGAGAGAGAGAGAGAGAGAGAGAGAGAGAGAGAGAGAGCGAGAGCGAGAGAGAGAGAACAGTAAAGGCAGCAACAACAACAACAACAACACCACCAACAACACCACCAACAACAACAAACAATTTGAGACTGTTCGCTCTTACTTGCCCGCGTGTCATTCAAAACAAGTTCTCCACACCCTCGAAACCCGCCCTTGTTGTCTTCGAACACACCCCCTTTGGGGGATTAGTTCTCTTTGCGGGGGGCGGCGGGCTTAGACAGGCGGGCAAACCTGAACTGGCGGACAACCCTTCGTGGGCGTACATGTGCCCGCCACTGGAATTGGTGTGGGCCCTGAGAGGAGGGGGAGAACGAGGGAGAGTGGGAGGAAGGGAGGGGGAGGGACGAAGAAAGAAGGAAAACGCCAGGAGAGAAGGAGCGAAGAGGGAGGCGGCTGATTAGAGGCAGAGAGAGGGAGAGAAAGAAAAACAGATAAGAGAGGTAGAGAAAGCGAGAGAGAGAGAGAGAGGCAGAGAGGCACAAGGATGAGGGAAGAGAGGAGGGAGAGAGAAGGGAGGAGAGGAGGGAGGAGGGAGGAGGGAGAGGGAGGAGGAGCAGGAAGGTAAGAGCGTGAACGTTCGAGGAAGACCTAGACGAAAGCGCCGTTCCTGAAGGAAGTCTCGGGCGGGAGCCCACGACGGGCGAGCGATCCCTGACGGGCGGGTCGGGCGGGTGGGACCTTCAAGCGGGATGCCTGAGTATGGCGAGAGCGCGATTACTAAGTAAATTGTAACGGCGTCCTTGGCAAAGCGTGTTTCCTGAGCGTCGAAAGCGCGATTTCTGAATAAATTGTATGGAAGTCACAGGCGAGAGCGCAATTCCTGAATAAAATGTGAAGGGTTCTCTGGCGGGAGCGGGGGTCTTGATTAAATTGTGATGAAGTCTTGATTCAATTGCGAGGAAGTCTCAAGCGGGAGCGCCGTTCTTGAGTAAATTGTGAAGAAGTCTCAGATGGGAGCGGGGGTCCTGCCTAAATTGCGAGGGGGTCACAGGCGGGAGCACCGATCCTGAGTAAATTGTTAAGAAGTCTCAGGAGCGGGGATCCTGAATAAAGTCGGAGGAAGTCTCAGGCGGGAGCCGTTGTTGTTGTAACCCGGGGGACCAGGGGCCCAGCTTGAGCAGGAAAACTGTCCCTGTCAGAAAACAAGGTGCGAGCGTCGAGGGGCACACTTAGATTGAGAAAAAACAGTATGCACTGGTGGGGGGTATCAACAATAGTATCCTTCAGAAATGAGAATTCAACAACAAAGACGACATATAAAAAAACCTGTTCCTGAAGCAACTCGAGAATCCTGCGTCATGCCTTGCCAGTGCGGGTTCCCGACCCTTTCCCCAGGACCAGCTCTACATCCCGAGTCGCTGTGTGACGGTCCTAGGAGACCCGGCGAGGGCCCCCAGAGGCAAACAACTTACAAATAACCTCCAGTCGTCGCCTGTTCGCCACGCGGTCCGCTCGGGACGATCCCGGCACCCCCAGAACGCCTTCCGGCGAGGTGCAGCTGCCGGAGCGCAACCCGAGGCAGGACGACCGCCCGGAAACCTGGAGGCACGACTCGGCGAACCCGGGAGGGAAACATCTGCACAACACACAATCAATCAAGCACAGATTCTTCATGGAAATTATGCGCCCAAGGAACTCCAGGACATGCGTACAAAATGGGGAGATACTGGAAATTGTGTCGATGTATTTGTGTCCCCCTGGATCCCTAGACGAACCCCGAACCCAACACAAAATGTCCGCTCCTGACAAGCAATACAATTCGGAGGGCCACGAACACTAGATACAGGGAGTCTTTCTTTTCCCAGATATCACAGAGGACCAAAAACTCCGACACATGCTCAGGGATCACCCCCAAATCCGAGAACCCAAGTTCGGCCACGAACTCATTGTGCTATTCGTAAGGTTAGGCGTTGCAGTATAAGGACAAACAAAATGCATGCATAAACATAAACTTCTGGCGCTCCGCACGGATTTCTTGGATCTGCGCTGGGCCCCCCTCCATGGCGCGCGGAGAGCCAGGGGCGGCGCCGGACGCGCTGCCAGGGGGGCCCAAGAAATCCGCGCGGAGCGCCAAAAGCTTATGTTTATGGCGCCTCCTTCTTCTTCTTCTTCTGAATTGCTTTTCTTCTTCTTCGAAAATCAGGCCACGAACTCATTGTGCTCATCGTAGGACTTGGGGCTGCAATCCGCTTCGTTTGTGGATGCCACGACAATGGACACCCTAAGAGTCCCATTATTGAACTTAAAATGTGCATAACATGTAGGAAAACTGTGCTAAACATGTTTTCACCCTGTTTTTTGTTACATGTTTAACACCTGTGAAACACGTGTTTCAGACATCTGACAATGATTTGGCAACATGGCTCCTCTCGGCGGTGGACAAACCTCCCTTTCGTAAACCTCCCCTCAGAGAAACCGGCCTGGGACCGAAACCGACGGACCTGGACCCGCAAAAATGACGGACCTGGACGCCCTCTCGCGCACCGAAAACGGCCAGTTCCTTAATCGACGTGTCAGGGTAGGAGGTCTATCCACCTCCGATCCTCTCCAGCGCTCGTCCTCCACAACGCTTCACGATCTCACATGTTTTGACCCTGTTATTTTCAAACATGTTTCACACCTGTCGAAAACACGTGTTTAACACTGAACTTAAATTGTGTAGAACATGTAGGAAGAATGTGCCATACATGTCTTAAATTTGTTTTACATGCTTCACACCTGTCGAACCACACATGTTCTAGACATCTGGAAATGACTTGGCAACCTGCCTCCCCTCCAACGATCGTCCTCCACAACGCTTCCCGATCCCCGGGCGCCGGGTCGGTGGCGCCGCCCACGTCCCCCGCCAGCAGGGCGCCGGCCAGCGCGGCCTCGCGCAGCGGCAGGCCCGCAAAGGCCGTTGGCAGCGCGGCCCGGCAGGCCAGCAGGGCGCCGGCCGCCAGCGCCAGGAGGGCCGGGCCGCCGCGGCCCCGCGCGCGCGCCATGGGCGGCGGAGGGTCGGAGGACGGAGAGGTCTGGCGGCGGGCGAGGGGGGGGAAGCGAAGGCCTGCTCCTCCTCCTCCGCCTCCTCCTCCTCCTCCTACTCCTCCTCCTCCTCCTCCTCCTCCTCCTCCTCCTCCTCCTCCTCCCCCTCCTCCTCTTCCTCCTCCTCAGGAGAAGGAGAGGGCCTGCTCAGGAGGCGGCGGGGCTGCTCAGAGGCCCTCGCGCCTCCTGAAGAGTGGCTTGCGTCTTCGGGGAAGGCAAGAAAACTTCCCGGAAGGCCGGGGGACTTCCGAGCCTTCCGAGAAGGCCCGCCCCTTCTCATTCCCCCCCCTCGCCCGCCGCCGAGCGAGAATCGACGCAGAGGCACCCACGACCCAGACGTCCGGCGTCTCGACTGGGTCGAGAGGGAGGTGCTGCCCCAAACTGTCGGCCTCTCGAGGCCCTCCTGCCCGGCCCCGCGGCCGCCAAAGAGCCACTCGGGAGGAGGAGCCGGCCCTGGAGAAGGGGTCGAGAGATCGGGGCCCGTGCCCCGGAAAGATCGAGACGCCGGATGTCTGGGTACCGCTACCCTTCCTCCTCCTCCTCCTCCTCATCCTCCCCTCCTCCTCCTCCTCCTCCTCCTCCTCCTCCTCATCTTCCTCCCCCTCCTCCTCCTCCTCCTCCTCCTCCTCCTCCTCCTCCTCCTCCTCCTCCTCCTCCTCCTCCTCCTCCTGCGGATCTCGGAGGAGACAAGGGTACCCATACCTATATACCCTTCCCTCGCGTTCCCCCCTTTCCTGGGCGACCTGGGAGGCCCTCGTCGCCACCGCCGGATTCGCCTCGGAAGCCTGGTCGGAGCGCACCCCGGGCGAGGTCCGGGGAGCAGCGGTGTATCGGTACCCTCGGTTGCCGCAGGATGGGCAGAGGCCTCCCAGAGATGCCACGAGGGGCGCAGGTGCCGCGGGTTTTCGTGCCGTGTGGACCCCGGCGTTGGTCCCTGGCGCCGCGGGGAGCGTTCAAACTTGAGCGATCGGCCGTTTCCGAAACGTCAGGTCGTTCATTATCGACCGATTCTGGGTCGTTCAAACATCAGGTCGTTCAAACATCAGGTCGTTCAAACATCAGGTCGTTCAATATCGACCGACTCTGGATCGCCTGTGGCGTTCCACGTGGAACGCCAGCAGCGGGGTCGCCGCTGGTCGGCACGAGGCGAACCTCACCGTATCTTCCCGCGCCCTCGCGGTCTGGACTTCGGAGCGCGATCCCGCGGAGAATTACGCGGTTGCACGGAAAAGCCCCTGGCTAGGGGGAAACTTGTGAGAAGTCTTCGCGCGAACGACTAAGAGCTATTAAGCCAGATGAACGGACCATTGAGCCGTTTTGGTGCGGACCAAGCCCTGTATACCCGGGAAAGTCGGAGAGAGCGGGACTAAACTGGATAGAGCGGGATTGGGCTGGATTTTGACCACGGGAGATGTCACGAAAGGCGAGCAAATCTGTATCCACGCCCTCTCGAGGGCCTCCAATAATTACGTGTGGTGACTGACCGCGTGGTGACCTCGGAATCCCCAAAAGGTCTTACCGCGTGGTCCGGTCCGCAGAATATTGGGACCCCGGAGACCCAATCACCCGATCCGTCCTCGGAGAACGACCCGAGTCCCAGAACCGTTCGGTGACCACGAATCCCTCCTGACTCACCACGCGGCGTGGTCACCACACCGTTTGTGGGGAAACCAAAAGGTACCGATACCGCTACTCCCCAGACCTCTCCCGGGGTGCGTTCCGACCAGAAAAACGAGGCGAATCCAGCGGTGGCGACGAGAGCCGCCCAAGAGGCCCAGAAAAGGGAAACGGGCTGAGGGCAGCGGTATGGGTACCTTTTCCTCCTCCGAGTTTGGACTCCCCCGATCCCTCGCTGCCTGGATTCTGGGGCGCGGTCCCCTGGAAGTGCATCCTCCCGACGGCATTCTGAGACAGCCGACGTGCAGTCGCTCCCGCAAAGCGGCGAGTTCAGGCTGGCATTGTCTTTTGCCCACGCGCTCCGGCGTATGGCAGTTCGCTCGTTCGTTCGTTCGTCCCCTGGAAGTACGCGGCCGCACGGGTGCGCTCCCCGCTGGACGTCCGTGGCAAAAAAAAGCACCGCGTGTGTGCGTGTGTGTGTGCGCGGGGATTCCGGCCCCGTGGTCCGGTCCGCGAGGCCGCGGACGCGGATACGTTTTTGGCCCACGAAGGTGGGGTCGGACTCGGACCAGCAGCGGCTTCTTAGAAGGAGGCTGCTTCTCAGAAGGCGCCGGCCTCACATCTGTAGATAAGGCCCGCGCGTTCTGAGAGGCAGGGGTGCTTCTAAAAAGCCCTCCCCCCTCCTTGAGCAGGGACCGACCGTCCCGGTATTCCTATAGTCCTACAACGAAATGTTCTAATAATAAAAACAAATGTTCTTAGAACAGTAACCCGACGTGTTAAAACAGGACAGTCTCAACCAGAACTGTTCTAAGAACATGTCGTGCAAACCACTACAGGTCCTCAGAACATGTCTTGGTAGGCCTATCGGCGAGCCAGGGCGCTTCGCCACTGCTCGACCTCCTCCCACCCCGCTCTGCGCGTGGTTGCGCTCCCCGCGGGACATGTCCGGGGCCAAAAAAACACCGTGTGTGTGTGCGGGTGTGTCGGCCCAGTGGCCCGGCCCGCGAGGCCGCGGACACTGACGCGTTCTTCGCCCACGAGGCTGGGCCCGTTTCCCACCACCACCACCATAAGTTGGATGGCGGCGAGGAAAAGGAGGAGGAGGAGGAGGAGGAGGAGGAGGAGGAGGGGGAGGGGGGGGAGGGGGAGGAGGGGGAGGGGGAGGAGGTGGGGGAGGTGGGGGAGGAGGACGAGGAACCCCTCCCCATCCAACTTCTGGTGCTGGTGGTGGTGGCGGAAAACAGGCCCATCACACGAAGATGGGGCCGGACCCAGACCACCACTGGCGCTTGCGAGACGCAGGCGATCCCCCTGCACGATCTGGCGTGTCCTCGCCACCGCGGCTGGACTCTCCTCGAGACTCTGGTCACAGTGCACCCCGAGGTAACTCGAGTCGACATACACCCCAGGGATGGGCCCCAGGAGTGACGCCATCGGCAGCAGGCTCCCCAACGCCTCCTCCACAGATCACGACGGACCGGCTCGGGAGGTGCTGGGCCTCCGTAGGGCCCCTCGCCGGGCCCCCCGGGGCCGTCGGGCCGCAGCTCGCGACGACAGCCCGGCCCCGGGGGAGAGAGGTCGGCACTGCTGGGGACCCCGCAGTGAAAACGACATCACTGATCGTAGGGGGCCTCATGCGAACCCTGCCCTTACGTCGGGCCCGTCCCTCTGCAGGAGGACTATCCAAAAGTAGTCCGGGGATTCTTTTCGGAGCATTTTTTGGCCATTTTGGAATATGCTTTTTGGGTGTTTGTCTGTTTCGTCGGAAATCCTCCTGTAGGGGGACACGCCCGACTTGACCCTACCCCTACGCCCCACGATTTCTGAGGGGGAGGGTGGGGTTCACTTCGCTCGGGAGCTCCCGAACGAAGCGAACCCCACCCTCCCCCTCGGAAATCGTGGGGGGTAGGGGTAGGGTTCACATGTGGCCCCCTATGGGGGGGTGATGGGATCAGAGGATTGCGCCGCAGCTCACGATGACAGCCCGGCCCTGGAGAGAAATGTCGGCACTTCCAGGGACCCCGCAGCGAAAACGACACCACGTTGAACGTTTGGGGGTGGGGGATGGGATCAGAGGCTTGCGCCGCCTCGCCGACGCATCGGCGACCTCGGCGCGGAGAAGTCGGGCTCCACAGAGGAGCCGCACTGCCGATGCATGCATGCGGTGCGGCGCAGCCCTGCGACCCCGGGTGCCCCGACCCCATCTGGGAGGCCTCCAGCGCGGGGGAGGTGGGGGCGGGCGGCCACGGTCGCTGTCGGGGGCGAGCCTGTCGAGAAAGCGGCGGCCCCCCTCGGCGTCTCCCCCGCCCGGCACGTGGGGCTGTGCAATTTGTCCCTGCCATCCTGCGGTGCTGGGTCCTCGTTCTGAAGAGCAGCGCCCCGCGTCCAGCCTCACCTTCCTCCTCTCCCTCCTCCCTCCTCCCTGCGTGCCTCTGCTCGTCGCACCAGTCTACCATTTCGGCACACCCCGAACACGCTTCGTGGCCGGCCCCGTAGGGAGCTCCACCGAAGGCCCGAGTGGCGGTGTTCGCATGCGCCCCCGCCACCGATGTCGGCCCACCCCTCACACGTTTCGCAGATCCGTGAGGAGCTCCACCGAAGGCCCCAGTGGCGGTGTTCGCACGCGCCCCCGCCACCCATGTCGGCACACCCCGCACACATGTCGTGGTCCCGTAGGGAGCTCCACCGGAGGCCCCAATGGCGGTGTTCGCATGTATCCCCGCCTCCCGTTCGGGTCACCCCTCACACGCTTCGTGGCCCCATAGGGAGCGCCACCGAAGGCCCCAGAGGTGGTGTTCGCAAGCATCCCCGCCACCCATTTCGGCCCACCCCTCGAACGCTTCGTGGCCCATAGGGAGCTCCACCGAAAACGAGATTCACCAGCGCGCTGAGACTCACGACTGCATACAGATTGGGTCATTCGCCTGTATACTTGTTGGTGAACTCCTGGCCCGCCTCGCGCAAACTGCACACCCGGTGTTCCCTGGGATCCCGCCTCGCGTTCTCGGGTGGGGATCGCTCGAAGCAAAACGAATTGTCCTTGCTGGGGGCTCATGGAGGCGTCTCGTCGCCACGGCTGGCTCCGTCTCGAACGCCGAACCAGGATCGGCCTCAGGAGGGGTCCCAGGACCGACTCTGCCCTGGTGTGGGCTGGGTGGAAGGGCCGCTGCTGTCTCAACCGGCCCTCCCCCGACATCGAAAACGATTGCACTCCTTGCAGCGCGCCTGGGACCCCAGCTGTGCCGAAATGGCACACGCCCTTTCTGCTCTCTCTTTCCTCCTCCTCCTCCTCCTCCTCCTCCTCCTCCTCCTCCTCCTCCTCCTCCTCCTCCTCCTCCTCTCTCCTCCTCCTCCTCCTCCTCCTCCTCCTCCTCCTCCTCCTCCTCCTCCTCCTCCTCCTCCTCCTCCTCCTCCTCCTCCCCCTCCTCCTCCTCCCCCCTCCTCCTCCTCCTCCTCCTCCTCCTCCTCCTCCCTCCTCCTCCTCCTCCTCCTCCTCCTCCTCCCCTCCCCCTTCTCATTTTCCTTTCCTTTTCCTCCTCCTCCTCCTCCTCCTCCTCCTCCTCCTCCTCCTCCTCCTCCTCCTCTTTCTCCTTGCGGCCAGCGGCATCAGTCTCAATGTTGACGCTGCCATCCCCCCCTCCTCATCCTCCATCCCCTCGCGCCGCCCCCCCGTGGGCGCCGCTCGTCTGCCGGAGCCCTCCTCTCCAGGCGTCCGGCGTCTCGATCTTATTCGAGACACGGGGCCTTCCCCTGGACCGGCTTTTCATCCCGAGCCGTTTTTGTTGACGGCCCCGAGGCCCAGTAAGGGCCCCGCGGGGCGGAAAACTATGAAGACCGTGGCCGTAGGTCGGGCGTGTCCTCCTACAGGCGGATTTTGGGCGAAATCCTCCGAAGTGCTATATATATATATATGTATATGTACCCCCAAATCCCCAAAAAGGAATCGAACAATCGTCCCCTGATTATTCTTTGACGATCTTGGAACATTCCTCCTGTAGAGGGACAGGCCCGACTTGACCGTGGTCCCGACGCAGCCGTGAAACCGAGCGCAGAGCTACATCGGGCGTTGGGGAACACGCCCGACCTAAACGAAGACCCCCGAAGACCTCAAACCTCGGACCTGGCTCCCCCCCCCCCCATTGTTCCCCAACCGGCGCTTGCGCTGAAGGGGTCCTAGCGGACATTGACAGATTGAGCGCGAAAGTCCCCCCGGTTTTGGTGGCCAGCTGGGTTCCCGGGTTCCCGGTTCCCGGGTTCCTGGTCGTTGGTTCCAGTCCGATTTCGGTGGGGTCCGGGTTCCCGGGTTCCCGGTCGATCTCCTTCTCGATCTCTTGATCCATCCCACGATGCATGTTGCATGATCGATCTCATGATCGATCTCACCATCGATCCAATCAAACCATCCACTGCTTGGATCTCATCGAGCGTAGCAGGGGGGCGCACCGAGTCCTCCGCCAACTCTACGACGCGGTACTGCAGCTCGACCGCTCGACCTGAAATCGAACTGTCGGCAGTACAGACCTGGCCTGAGACATCGAAACAGTTCCATCAGAGGAAACTGGCAAGACATGCAAATAATAAATAATAATTGTACAAATAATAAGCGAATACAGGCCCACTGCTTGGATCTCCTCCTCGATCACTTGCTCCATCCCAGTTCAAACCATCCACTGCTTGGGGCTCGTCTCTGGTGCAGTTCGAGGCGCCGGACGTCCGGGTCCAGCACCGAGTGGCCTCTCGGCGCCGCCCGGCCTCCTCGCCTGGCCGCGTCGCTTCGATGGGGGGGGGGCGGTAAAAAATGCGGGGGTCGCCTGCAGTTAGGCAGGGCATGTCCTACAGGGGGATCTTCAACGAGAAAAAAATAGCAGTAGCATGAGTATTAATATTAAGATTCTCAAGTACTACTATCATCACTAATTTGATTCTGATGATTCTTACACACAAGAAAGTCCAGAGCCAGAAAATACCCAAACATGATTCAGAAATACTCCAAAACTCGTCCCCAGACTATTCCTTGACTATGTGTAATATTATTCCTCCGTAGAGGGACAGGCCCGACTTACGCCTGCAGGCCCCCGCTGGGGCCCGAGAGGGCCTCTCCAGGGGCCCTGCAGGGCCCCTCTTCCGCAGCCCTCGCGGCTCCCCCGTTGACCCGTCGGCCGGAAGAGGTGGGCAGGAACGTGAAGCGGGAAGGCCTTGGAAGCAGGTTGGGCTCCCGCCCGCCGCCCGGAAGAGGAGGGCAGAGGGAAAACCGCGCGACGCTTGAGATAGGACGGCAGCTCAAGCAGGTCGGGACCTTGGCACCCACAGCAGCCTGCTTGCAACAACCCGCGTGCATCGCCCACCCCCCCATTGCGCGACGCCCAAACGCCCCCCCCTACAGGGGAGGGCCCAGCGTCTGCGTCGGCGTCGGCGTCGGCGTCGGCGTCGGCGTCGGCGTCGGCGTCGGCGGCGTCGGCGTCGCCCCCCCGTTGCGCGACGCCCAATCGCCTCTCCCCCCGCGGGGGGGGGCCCGAGCGCCCCGCGCCCTCGGCCCGCGCCCGAGTGCCCTCTCAGCGGTCCCGCGGCACCGATGCCCTCGGCGCGCCGCGCTCCGCGGGGCCTCAGCCGCCCAGGGCCTCGCGCTCCGCGTCCTGGGGGGAGGGGGCGGGGGGGGAGGAGGGAGGAGGAGGGATGATGAGGAGAAGGAGGAGGAGGAGGAGGAGGAGGAGGGGAGGAGAGAGGGGGGGAGGAGGGAGCGGGAGGAGGAGGGAAAGGAGGGAGCAGGAGGATGAGGCGGAGGAGGAGGAGGAGGAGGAGGGAGAGGAGGAGGAGGAGGAGGGGTGATGGTCCCGCCGAGGGGGGGGCGCTGCGCCGCGGGGGGCCCGCGGTCCGTCGTGGGCGTCGGCGTCGTCGGCGTCGTCGTCGACGGCGTCGGCGTCGGCGGCGGCGGCGGCGTCGGCGGCGTCGTCGGCGTCGGCGGCGTCGTCGGCGTCGGCGTCGGCGTCGGCATCGTCGGGGGGCTGCGTGGGGAAACTTCTGCGGTCGGAATCTCTTGGAACCCATCTATAGAGGAGCAACAAAAAAGATAAACATCAACTTTTGGAGGTCCGCGCGGGTTTCTTGGATCTGCGCTGGACCGCTCTCTCTGGCGCGCGGAGCGCGCCAGGGGCAGCGACAGCTGCGCCGCCAGGGGGTCCCAGCGCCGATCCAAGAAATCCGCGCGGACCGCCAGACATTGTTACTCATCTTGTTTTTTTGCGCTCCGAATCTACTCAGGCCCCATGTGGGAGGCCTGCAGGCAGGGCCCCCCTGCAGGGTCCTGGCGCATGGCGGTGTGCGCCTCCCGCAGCAGCTGCCGGAAGCCCGCGACCGAGAGGCCGGAGGATTCCAGGAAGCTGTTCGCCTGCAAGGGCGGGCAGCAAGGCGGCAGGGGTGCGAGGCAGGAGAGCGCAGGTAGGGGCTGCGCCGCGGAAACATATACAAGAGGCGTCCTAGGTGGGGTCCGAGTAGATGGGGTCAAAGGATGGCGCCGCATCGACAATGCATCGCCGATGTATCACCGATGCGTCAGCGATGCATCGGCGACGTCGGTGTGGATAACATCGGGCTCCACATCGAGCCGCATCGCCGATGCATCGGCAATGCGGCGCGATCCTCCGACCCCATCTTCTCGGACCCCATCTGGGAGGCCCAGATATACACAGGCACCCGCCGACGAATCTTGCCTGCACCTCCAGGGAGGGTGCGCGGAGTGAAACATCGCTGGCTCGCAGCGGTGATTTGCAGACCGCCACGCTCCCCGTTGAGGCCCAGGCGCAAGCCATCAGAGGGTGTTTGTGCTTCTTCCTTTTTTTGGCGGAGGATTAGGAGGATTAGGAGGATTAGAAGGAGGAGGAGGAGGAGGACGAGGAGGAGGACGAGGAGGAGGAGGACGAGGAGGAGGAGGAGGAGGAGGAGGAGGAGGAGAGGATGAGGAGGAGGAGGGGCGGAGGGGGGGCCCACGCCCCGTCGCTGCCGCAAGAACAGCACGCGCCCAGGCCTACAGGGGGGAGAGACCGGCGAGGGGCAATGCGACGAAGGCGCTGCAGGTCTGGGTGCGAGCTGTCGGGCCTCGAGGGGGGCCCCCGTGCGAGCGGGGACCCCCCTCCGACAGCACGCACCCGTGGCCTCACCGGAGTGCCGCCCCGAGCAGCCTGGGCGTCGCACAGGCGCGGGTGCCGGCTGCAAGCTCACGACAAGGGCTCCAGCGTGCTCTTGTCGCAAACAGAGGAGAACAAAAAAAAAAAACAAAAAAACATGTTTGGTCGGGGGCGGCCAAGGAGGGGGGCGTCCAAGAGTGGAGGGCGCAAATCATGGCCGGTGGCATGTGCGCGGCCCATGGGGGGGGGGCCAGGCACTCCATGAAGTAGGAAGAGGCGCCACGAAATCTGAGGAAGCAGTCATCACCCCCCCTCTTGGCCGACCCCGATTTGCAGCAAATTTCGGCTTCCGAGGGCCCATTGCAGGACCCAGGGACCATGAGGCTCGGAGAATGCCGTAGACAAAGGGGGTCTAAGGCTCCGCGGTCGTGATGTATCGCGCTGCTGCACTTTTTCACAGCGTCGGATCTCGGGGCTACAGGGCGAAAGCCGGAGAGGAGGCCAGACCAAGGCCAAGACCAGGTGTCTCTGTGGAGAGCTGCATGCCTTACAACGCGTGCAAACTAACTTCTAAAAAAACGACCGTGGCAGCGTCTAACCCTGTTTTTTCCTTGTTTTTGTTAGCCTCCAGGGGCCATCGCTGGGCTCCAGGACTCTCAACAAAAATGACCCAGGACGAACAAGCAGCCCCAGGGAAATTGTCCAGATCTCCAGGGGCCCCCGCATCGAAAGAAAGTCGGAGCGCCGGATGGAGCGCGTTCCTTTACTTTAGGCGATAATGGGCATTATAGGGGGGGGAGGGGCCAGGGGGGGTATAATGTAACGCCTCCCCCCCGCCGTGCGCACGGCGGCAGTGTCCGGAGCGCACTGGGGGGGGAGGGGCGTTACGTTATAGGGGGGGAGGGGGGGCCAGGGGCTATAATGCCCATGATGCCCCCTATAAAGAAACATGCTCCGTCGGAAAAGATCAGCTTCTGAGATCCTGTGGGAACAGAAGCAGTGTGCTGAGAGTGCCGAGCATCTTCTGCGCAGAATCAGGGGAGGTCCGATCGGTATTCATACGGCCTTGAGGCTGCTCAATCAGTGAGTCGACCCTGCCAGATCAGAGGTACACTCATAAGGGGCACAAAAAGTGACATACACATAAAAACTCGGAGGTCCGCGCGGATTTCTCGGATCGCCGATGGACCCCCCTCCCTGGCGCGCGGAGCGCGCCAGGGGCGGCGCCGGAGGCGCCGCTGGGGGGCTTTTTTTCTTTCTTCCGTCATCCGTCGGCGCGGATCCGAGAAATCCGCGCGGACCTCCGAGTTTTTATGTTTATGTCACGTCTTGTTCTCCTCAGGAGTGTGGCAGCGTGGCCCTCGGAAAAGTCTTGCGTCCTCTCGCGGGTCCTCGGAAGGCGCGTGCGTGGGGGAGGGCGCCCGAGCCGAGGGCGGCCCAGCGGCACCTCGCGAGCGCTCCGCCGGAGGGGCGCCCGCGCGGAGAGAGCGCGGCACGGAGCGCCGGGCGGTGCCGCCGGGCGACCGTGGGCGAGCAGGCGGACTGGGAGTGGGAGGGGCCGAGCCGAGGGCGGCCCAGCGGCACCTCGCGAGCGCTCCGCCGGAGGGGCGCCCGCGCGGAGAGAGCGCGGCACGGAGCGCCGGGCGGTGCCGCCGGGCGACCGTGGGCGAGCAGGCGGACTGGGAGTGGGAGGGGCGGAGGGGGCGGAGGGGCGGAGGGGGAGGGGGCGACTGGGAGGGGGAGGGCGGAAGGGGCAGGCGGGGCGGCGGGGGCGGGGAGGGGAGCATAAGGGCCAAGCAGGATGAGTAGTATGAATGAGGAGGAGAGGAGGGGGAAGAGGAGGAGGAGGAGGAGGAGGAGGAGGCGGACCAGGAGGACAACGAGGAGGACAACGAGGAGGAGGAGCAGGAGGAGGAGGAGGAGGACGAGGAGGACAACGAGGAGCAGGAGGAGGAGGAGGACGACGAGGAGGACAGCGAGGAGGAGGGGCAGGAGGAGGAGGAGGAGGACGAGGACGACGAGGACAAGGAGGGGGCCACTCCCTCGCTCGGGCTCTCTGCTGCTCTCCAGGCCCCGCGGTGGCGGCTCGACCGCGACCGCCGGCGCGCGCTGCCCGGCCGGCAGGGCTGAGCACCCCGCCAGCCCTGAAGTGCCAAGGGGTTCTAAGCCTCCCTTTCTGGGTGACCCAAAAGGGGGTCAAGCTGAAGCATCTTCCTCCTCCAACTCCTCCGCCGTCTCTTCCTCCCCTTCCCCCTCCTCCCCCCTCCTCCTCCTCCTCCCCCTCCTCCTCCTCCTCCTCCTCATCCTCCTCATCCTGATCCTAGATTTGGAGCACCTGTATTGACCCGCACACATAGTATACCCATCTTGTAGTATATCGTTTCCCGAGCGGTGTGGCCAGAAAGCGCCCGCCACGACGCATGTACTATAAGATTTCTTGGTGCGCGCGTCGCCCCTGGGGGGAAGACGCACATATAGTAGAAGTATGTCGGAGTGACGCAGATTCAATCCCCTCTGCTAAAGGTTAGGTCGGGCATGTCCCCCTACAGGGGGATTTCGGGCGAGAGTTTAAAACATACTCCAAACATACTCCCAGATGGTCAAACATAGATTTCAAAACAAATCGTCCCCAGACTAGTCATTGGACTATGTTTGAATGTTCCTCCTGTAGAGGGAGAGGCCCGACTTAATGCTAAGGAGACGTTAGTGGATCGGGCCATGTAGCTGGCTTTCCTGGCGCCTCTTGGCGTCCGACCCCGCCATGTATCGACGAGTGCGCCAGGCGGCGGGGCGGAACCCAACTGCACGCAGCGGGCAATTTGCGTCGCACCACCCCCCATTTCCCCATCTCACGCTGTCGCCCGACCCAGTTCTCCTGTAGCGGGTCGGAACCTGAAGCTCGCCCGCCCGCGCACGAGAAGCTCGAAGCCCGACCAGGGTGTGCGAGCCAGAGACCTCCGATGAAATATCCCTGGGGCCTCCGCGGGCTTCAGCAGGGGCGTTGACCGCGGAGCGCTTGCCACCTGACTCACAGCTAATAAAAAGACAGACCACAAACCTACTGGGAGGGCATCTGAGTTAAGCCCAAAACAGTAGGAACAAAAAACGTATGCTTGCAGATTCCTCCAACTCAGCCACCCATCAATTCTATTCTAAAAATTCTCATGACCGCCATTGGGGAGGTATCAAGGACCGTCGGCGCGAGCGCCACAAGGTCTCCCAGGAGCCCTGCGCTGCTGACAGCGGCCATACGACGGCCAGGCGCCCCCGACGAGGTCCGTGGAGGACTCTTGGAGCACGCGTCCAACTGTCAGTTGCTCTGTTCTGAGACGGAGCCACGGCCAGTACCAAATCGGACCGAACTAAATCGGGGGCCCCTGAGATCCGAACTGGACGCATCGGGCGCCGCGGCCGTTGCAGAACGATCCTGAACGCCCTAAGAACGCTCCGGGACGTTCTGGAAAGGTAGATCCTGGTCCTGGGCCCGACCGACGCTCCATCCCTTCCGACTCCGGCTGCTGTGAGGGCGAATCTGACGAGGAGGCAGGTGCCACCGGGCCTGCTGGACGTAGTCCGGGTTCAGCTCCCCCATGAGCTGGAAGCGGGATATGAACACCTCCTGCACGGCCGCTCGGGGTCTCTTTCTCTCTCTCTCTCTATCCCTCTCCCCCCCCTTCCATGACAACAATGATATTCTGGAAAGGCTCTTCTGCTTCCTAGAGGGTGACGCTAAAATCCGCCCCGTTCTAGGGTGACCCTTGCAGCCCTCTCTGAGATGGATTGATATCTAGGAGAGAGCGTGATCCACCGCCGCTTTACTGTGGAAAATTGCCAACCTTTTCCTCCGGA